AAGGGATTAGCCTCAAGGGCTATGCTAGTGTTGGGACTGGATTACTCTTTGAGATTTTCAAGTACTGAAGTCCATATTTACAGTAGTTGTTATAGTCCTATCCCTAAGCTTGAGCTCCCACTTGAATCCAAAATCATATATTCTGCCTGGCCGGTGTGGCTCAGTGGTTGACTATCAATTTATGAACTAGGAGGTCATGGTTGGATTCCAGTCAGGACACATGCCCGGGGTTATGGGCTCAATCCCCAGGAGGGAGCGTTCAGGATGCAGCCAATAGATGATTCTCCCATCAATGATGTTTCTTTCCCTCTCCCTTCCTATCTGAAATTAACAAACATATATTAAAAAATAAAATAGAAAAAAACCCCCAAAATTAAAAATAATAATTAAAATAAAATAAAACCACATATCCCTACATATTTCTCAGGAAATCATCCACTTCAGTTGGTGTGTAAAGGTTTCTCATAAGCATAATTTCCATTTTAGACTAGCATGTTTGAATAAATAATTAATGAGACTTAAAATGTATTACTTTAGGCCCTAGCTGGTTTGGCTCAGTGGACAGAGCGTTAACCTGAAGACTGAAGTGTCTCGGGCTTGGTTCTGATCAAGAGCATATGCCAGGTTGCAGGCTTGATCCCCAGTAGGGATACGCAGGAGGCAGCGGATCAATGATTCTCTCATTATTGATGTTTCTATCTCTCCTTCTCCCTTCCCCTCTGAAATCAATAAAAATATTTTTTAAAAAAAAATAAGTGTCTGTCACAAGGCTAATATTTTAAAAAGTTGAAAGCTGAGAACAAAGTAAGAGAAAACAAGTTAATATTTATAAAAGACAAAGGATTAATATGCAGATTATAAAAGAATCCCTACAATCCATAAGGAAAGGACAAAAACACAACAGAAATATGCAGAGTAAATAAGCAATTCCCAGGAGAAATGCTAATGGCCAATTATCATTTAAAATTAGGCCCTGGCCAGGTTAACTCAGTTGGTTAGAGCATCATCCCGATATGCCAAGGTTGCAGGTTCAATCTCCCATCAGGGCACATACAAGAAGCAATCACTTTGGGGTTGGGGGTATGGTGGAGGGCATGGAGGGGATAAATGGTGATAGAAAATTTCAATTAAATTAAAAAAGATGCAACAAATGAATGCATAAATTTGTGGACCAACAAATAAATGTTTCTTTCCCTCTCTAAAATTTTTTTAAAAAGTAACTTCATGTAACTTTTGAAAACAAGTGTGCTTGAGTGTATGTGAAAAATTTCATGTGCCTCCGATTGCAGTTTAATAGAAGTTTGATGTAGTGAAAAATATTCAGAGTGGTAAATTGATATTGTTCATGAATTATTTTAAGGTAGCTAATATAAACATAGTATGATTTATTTTTAGTTGAATAACAAATATTACAGTTCCTTGAAACAACCCATAAAAAAGGGGAAAGCAAAAGCACATTTTATTTAGTGTTTTCTCCAGGAATCTCCTGGTGCTTTTAAACTATCAAATAATCATTGTAGAAAGCCAAGCAGTGTCAGTTTTAAATAACTCTTACCCTATTCCTTTTTCCATAACATTAAATGACCATAATCATGGGGGAAATAATTTAACCGATAAGAATTGAATATGACATCACAGCATTATTGAGTAACGCAGCTGTAAATCATGCTAGCTATTTCTAAGAATCTGTCAAATGGGGCGCGAAACATTAACCTGCTCTAGAACTCATTAGGGTTATTTTTGCCACACTCAATATGGAGGGCAAGTCACACTGAGAAGTAGTTCAACTCCTCAGGCCTGTCCCGCCTCTCCTCTTTCTGATTGGAAGACATATTCCACCCTGGAAGTCCTCTGGGACACTATTGGCCAGTTGTCCAATCTGTCCTGTGTCATCTCCTTGCTCTTTAGAACAAGTAAACAAACAAGTATTGCTCAAGAGGAGCGCATGAGCTATTCTCAGAAAGAATTCAGTCAGGCAGATTTTGCAGTGACACCCAATAGATGCAATCTGTGGGAGTGTCCTCACCGGGTCCTGGGAGGTTTTGCGAAAGAGGCCCTGTACTAGAATGCTTCCTCCCTGTGAAGCTCTGCCTCTGGGGTTCAACTTTAGAAATCAACAAACTAGTGCATACAGGAAAGCCATGGCAAATCATTCAGATAACCCAACATTATTTCTTAAATGAGTGAATAACAACTGATGGAACTGGGTAACATTCCAAGGGGTTTGCTGTTGTTGTTGTTTGCTTGTTTAATTCTAAATACATTTCAATGGATTGTTTTTCCTGCGTTTGCCCAGACAGTATATGCGGCTGTTAAGGGATGTAACTGTTCAGACTCTCGTTTTAAACCATGAACTTCTTGTTTAGCCTATTAATGTTTTCCCTTCACCCTGACTGTTTCTGCTGGGCAATGGATAAGATGACATTTTTCACATCTAACAGCATGCATCAAGTTAACATGGCTTACTACTTTCAGTGACTTTCCAGGCAAACAATTAAAAAATGCCCTGTCCTGTATTCTACTTATTTCCTTAGATGTTACCAGTTCTCACTAACAAAGAGTTCATTGTTGTAATATTAAAACAAATGATCTCTTCTATCTAGTTTTTCCTCATTTTAGTATGAGCCTCCTTAGTGTTCTTTGTAAAGGATACAAGTTCTGTATGAGGGATTATAAAATTGTTCAAAGACACATAATGCTTTCAGCATTCAACATGTGAAAGTTCTCCGCTATATTCAAAGTCTTTCCCTTCTGGCTCCTCTACACCAACATGGATTACCCAAGCTCTCACAGCTGTCTTTTTCTTTCTGTTCTGATGGTCTGCACCAGTTCAATCCTTCAACATCTTTGTGAGTTATTGTACACAGCCTTCCTGCTGTAAAGGATATATAGGTGTATCTTTTAGTTGCATAATTCAAATTATGAACACAGAATAGTTTAGCCATTCTATTAAAGATGAAAATTTGAACAAATTAATTTGTACATTTTAATATACTCTAAGCTCCCCTAGAAGAAAAATATATTTTATTAATAGGGCCTAGTAGGGAATCGATATATTTCTTTAAAACTGACTGAGATGTAACAGTGGCAAGGATCATGCTTTAGAACCTATGGATCCACACAGGATATAGCACATAGGCTAGTCAGGCATTCTGTAAATTTTTATTATATTATTTGGTACATTGCTGAGATATTTCCTAGCTTGGATGGTGATGATGATGATGATAGCCCAACAGTCTTTTCTATGTCTGTTTGGTTCACATTCCTCCCTGTTTAATCTTTTAGCCAGTTTATTTGTTTGTTCTTTTTTTTTATTCAACAAACATTTATTCAGTAAAACATTCATTGACTGCATGAAGGGTTAGTACATCTGTCATGTTGCGAGGGTTACATCTAGTAAAGCCAAAGGAAGCAAGTGTTTACAATAAAACAATATGATGGTGCTTGTAATAAAGGGACCATCCTTCCTAGAAGGGGGTACCATTAGAGGACAAGAAGGAAGGGGGTTGGATTTAGAGGCACAGACTGGGGAGATGGGACTTCCTGGCAAAGGAGACAGCTTGAGCAAAGTGACAGAGATGTGACAAGACATGGTGAGTTTTGGCTAAGGAATCTGGTGGCACTGACTGAAAGATGTGTGTGGGGAATGAGGAGGCCAGGCTGGGAGGATAGGACCAGATAGTGAGCTATTTTGTGTGATATAATAAGGAGTCAATAGGCCCACTAAGTACTTTTAAATAGGTGAGTGATAAGATGAGTCTGCTTTTACTTATGTTACTGTTTGAAGGAAGCCAGTTCTGGCAACTACAGAGGATGGTTGGGAAAACCTTCTATATGCAGGTAGGTCAATTTGATGTTATTTTTCATATATATATATACATTGTCATATATATACATATGACAATGTATATATTTTTTATTGATTTAGAAGGGAGAGGGAGAGAGAAAGAAACATCAATGATGAGAGAGAGTCATCAATCGCCTGCCTCCTACATGCCCCCTACTGGGGATTGAGCCCGAAACCCGGACATATGCTCTGACTGGGAACTGAACCATGACCTCCTGGTTCATAGGTTGACACTCAACCACTGAGCCACACTGGCCGGCCAGGCATCAGTGGCATTCTTAAGACAGGGCTCAGGAGTGGAGTCCCAAGCCCACCCCAAAACCATTGGGTCTGGCCTGTGGGGTGAGGGGAGAGGACACAGGTCTCTGTGCAAAGCTCTTTCCTCTATCACAACTCGTGGCATCAAAACTAAGGTCACCGTTGTGGGGAATGGGACATCCTGTGCTGCTGATGGAAGGACATTGCGGCTTATCTGTGCTATTTCTGACCAAGGTGTTGTTTTTCAATTGTGTAGACCTAAGATGGTAAACATTTGAACTAAGGCACTGCTATTTTTTTTTTTGGTCAAAAGATGCACTTCCCCATTTATGGGATTCTGTGGACTATGGTAGACTGCCCTCTTTTCTGCTTAGAGATTTCCTTATGGAGGTGGTGGTGGAGAGCCAGGACTTTGTGGAGGTTGGGCCCAGGGAAACTGGCAGGATTAGTCTTTTCTATTAGATAAGCAAGACCCCACACCAAACCAGAAACACTGGGTTTGCCAGTGGATTCTTAGCTTCCATTTAGATTCTGGGCAACTCCTCCAGCACTTCAGGGCATTGAAGTAAGTAAGTCTTGATCAGAAAGGAGTTGTAGAGCTGCTACTATAGCATCGTACGTACCTCTGGCTCTCCTCTCTGATGACAATTAATAACAGTTTCTTGCTATGAGTTATTTAAGGTGAAGCCACTCTCAAGAGGTAGCTGTACAGAGTCTCTAGAACACACGTGCCCTGGAGCATAGTAAACAAGGTAACAAGATCACTGACAGATGACATAGGATTTATCACCTAGCATGATTTCCCCCCTTCACTGTAATAAGGGCAGAAATGAGTGAATGTTAGTTTTTCGATAAAAGAGCTGACAGGCACAATTTAGGGTTCTATTTGGCTTACCTAGTTCGTAGAGCTTTAACAGTTGGCAATGCTTCCACCTGCCACTTAATCTCGCCTTCTGTGAGCAGCAGTCTTGGGGGCCATTTGGAGCTTTCTTTGCGGGGGGAGGGGGTTCTGGGGAGGAAGGTGTCCTTGGGGAATCCTGGGGGGCAGTCCTTGGGGCTCCCCTCAGGGGAGGTCCTAGCGGTTCTGGTGGGGGTCCGTGGGACCCTCAGAGGGGGTCCTGGAGGGATTCATGGACGGAGGTTATTTGGGGGTTCTCTGGACCATCCTGGGGAGGGGATCCTTGGGTCATGGGGGGGTGGGTGGAATGTCCTCCTGGGGATCCTTAGGGTCATTCTGGGCGCGGCAGACAAACCTGAAGGCGCTCCTGGGTGAAGAGCGGCCTCCGCGAGCCGGCGCAGTGGGTTGCGCGTCAGCCCTATGGTCTGCAGGGGGTGGGTTCGGTCCTCACACGCGGCAGCTCGCCCTTTTGCTGCCCACACTCACGTCTTTAGTCGGGAAGGGGCGGCCGTGGCGCGTTTGTGGGTGACATTCTTTTCCCGTGCAAGCTCCGCGAGGGGGACAGGAGGCCCGCAGACCTCAGGCGAGCCGAGGCCAGAGCCCCCGGGG